CTGCATTTGGTCTCAATATGCAATTCGCTTGTTGACTAGCATTAATCGCTGGACGTGTGAATCGCATCTGTCTTGCAGATTCTGCATTGATTATCAGCTCCAGATCAGAAAATAGACAGTAACAAAAGCTTGCAAGTCTGCCTGTGTTTTGCCTTCTCTTATTGCTACAGAGAAGCAGAAGGAGCCAGTCTGAGTAGCTTCCTAATGTTTTCTCCTTTCCCAGGGTTCAAGGCCTGCTTTTGTTTCTCATATCTCATCCAAGGCCGTATCCTTGGCTTCCCAACTAAGTAGGCTTGAAGTACAATGCAATGCTTTTGAGTTTGATTTTCTATCTTTAGTATTATACAGAATGTGTTTTATTTTGCCATCCTAGTACATCATCACTTACTAATGGAGTATCCTTTATTGTCTCAGATCCATCATCTGTATTATCTGGGCTAAACAATAATTCGAAGCTATTTCCTAATAGTTAATTTTCATTTATAAATGTAAATCCTCCATATTAAGCCAATTAATCTCTTAATTTTTTTTATCATTTTCCAACAATATTTAAATCTAATAATCATATTTCCCTTCATCTCAAAATTTCCCTTTAGCCCTGAGACTTTAGGATCCTCTCTAATAAATCAAGACCCCATTTTTTAAATCTAACTCTAGCTTTCTTTTTATGCCAACCAGGCATAATGTCTATGAAATAAAATAAGAATATATTTAAGTAAGTAATATGTGTTTTTTAGATATTATAACTTTTACGTAGTGAAATAAAGGAAATTTGGGATATCTGAAACTTAAATAATATGGATATTAAAGGTTAAATTGGAAGACTGCAATTAAAAGTTAAAAATTACGTAAAAGTTAAAAACAGGATATGTATATGTATAAGCAAAAATGTATTGATAAATGTTTCAACTGAACTTGTTATAATTAGAAATTTACTTGCTTAAATAGGATATAGCAAATGTTAAGGGAAATAGAGAAGGAATTTTTGATGATGTAACCTGAGATATGTACTAAAGATTCTGTTATTGAACTATTGATTACCTAATCACCACGCTGCTTTCTAAATACTCAAATGTAAAACTGGAAAACCAATAAAAACTTGCTATTAAAAAAAAGGATGTGTTTTATTTTGCATCCTGTTTCTTTGCTTTTTATTATACAGTTTATATTACAGCAATTCATTTAGTGGCCACTTGAAGTATCAATGGCCCGGAAAAAAGTAACTTGTGACCGTTTTTCACGCTTGACCGTTGCAGCATCTCTATGGCCATGTGATCAAAATTCAGGCACTTGGCAACTGTCTCATGTTTAAGACAGTCCCAGGTCATGTGATCACCTTGTGCGGCTTCCTGATAAGCAAAGTCAATGAGGAAGTCAGATTCATTTAACAACTGTGTTACTAACTTAACAACGGCAGTGATTCTCTTAGCCACTGTGGCAAGAAAGGTCGTAAAATGGGGGCAAAGCTCACTTAACAACTGTCTTGCTTAGCAACAGAAATGTTGGGCTCAGTTGTGGTCATGAGGACTACCTGTACAATGCAACGGTTTTGACTCTGATTTTCTGTCTTTAGTATTGTAGGGCATGTGTTCTATTTCTGTAAGTTGTTTCTTTGCTTTTTATTATATTGTGGAAGCTCTTTCCATTTGCATTGTAAGCTGCAGTGAGTCTGGGAGGTTTGGCAACATGCCCAGTTGATAAAATATCAAGGTGTTGGTTTAACAGCTAACCAGCTTATGTAATGTAAGATGTAATAATGGGAATGACTCAGCAGGGTCTCTGTTTCTTTAAGAGCCTTTGTATAAAGCAGTGGTGGTGAACCTGTGGCACGAGTTCCAGAGGCGGCACTCAGAGCCCTCTCTGTGGGCACGCGCACAGTTGCCCCAGTCCTAGGCCTTCAGCTGGGTTTTATAAAACCTTTTCGCTTTAGGCCTCCTCCACCGTGTGCAAAAAAAAAAAAGGTTCAATCACTCAATCAATTTCAAGTTCTCGCGGGAAACAAAAAGATCTCACAAAATTGAAACTGATTGATTGAACTTTTTAGTCCCACCCAGTCTGCCGTTACCACTGCAGCCACGCCCACCCAATGGGCCACACCCACCCAGCACCCGACGATGCATAAGTGGGTTTTGAGTTGCAGTTTGGGCACTCGGTCTCTAAAAGGTTAGCCATCACTGGTATAAAGGGAAGGCTCTGCTGATGTGTTGTTCTTCTTCCGTTTTCCTGCCGTAACTGTGGTTTGTTGGATCCTGGTGTATTAGCTCGTTTATGTATATTGTTCCTGGTGTATGATATTGTAGATAATGTAAGATAAACCACCATTTACTATAGACCACTGTTTACTGTGTTTACTCCTGGGTTATCTCACGCAATAAGACTGTGCACGCTCTTGACATAAAACAATTTTAAAGCGGTAAATGTGAGATGAAGATTGCGTCCATCTCTCTCTAAGCCATCATCCTCCCAAAGTAGGAGTGTTGGCCTTTTTCTGTTTCTAGACTTAGAGCTTTACTTGAGGGTGTGGACAAGGGGGTGGACAATTATGGTCCCTTTATGATCTGTGGACTTCAACTCCCAGAATTCCTGAGTCATCACGGCTGGCTCGGGAATTCTGGGAATTGAAGTCCACAGGTCATAAAAGAGCCATAGTTGCCCACATCTGATTTATTATAATGAAAGCAGTGCTTTTGTTTATCCTGACCAATTTCATTGCCCCTGCTAGCAGAAGATACCAGGTGCCTCAAATACATTATACTCTTCCCCCCCCCCCTTTTTTGTGTTTGGATGCTTACATTTTCTTTAGCCAATTTCTCAGCCTGCTTGGCCTCTCTGGCTTGCCTCCTTTCCTCACGTGTCGCTTGCTGCTCCCGAAAGCCCTTCTGTTTTTGCAATGCCAAAGTGATCCACAGAGGCTGTGCGGTTTCCCCTTTCTCCATCACTTTTGAACCATCGATGGAATGCCTGCTCTGAAGAATTGGCCTTTCTGAAAGAGGGAACAGAGTGGAAGAATATTCTGTGGATACGCTGTCGGTGCTGATAGAAATGGAAGCGGTCCAAAGGAGGACATCTAACCAGACCTTACATCTGTGGTGTGCAAAAGGTTGCTTGAAACTTCTCCTAGCTGCTGTTATAAATTCATCTTAAACAAGCCATCTACACATTTATATTTTCAGACATTTTTGACGGTCCTCCGTCCTTGGATTGTTCTGTGTGCCTCATTTATTACATCCTGCCTATGTACAATCGATAGATTTGTATATTTTTAAAATATGCCCATTTCTCAGGGTGTTTTTTTTTTATTCACCTATTGTTTAGATCAGAGGTCCCCAACCTTTTGGGCACCAGGGACCAGTTCCGCGGAGAGAGGTTTTTCCACTGACTGGAGAGTGCATGGTTTTGTGTGCTGCCTGCATCCCATGGATGGGGCTTTGCTTGTTTGTGGGGACCGGTTGCTGGCATGCTGTGGCCCGGTACCAGTCCACGGACTGGGGGTTGGTGACCCCTGGTTTAGACAATTTTAAAATGGTCTATTTTCAAAGTCTGCATAGGCTTATATCATTCTAGCATGTTATTGTAAATCTATAAAACAAATCTGCTAGACACGTCTGCTCCCATAGCATGTCTTGTGTGTTTCATGAAACATTTCCTTTCCAAGTTCTAAAATTCATTATCTTTCTCTAGGCCATGAAATGACGCATTTTTCTTCTTTAAAAAGGCAGAAAAGAGACAATCTCTTATAGCACAGTGTTTCTTCCTCAAATGCACGGGGGGGAAAATATTTGTTAGGTGGAGCACCAATAAAGCACTTCAAAGTCCTATATTTTTAGAGGGGAGCTTAATACACTTCTGGAAAACATCTGGAAAATACTTCAGTGTTGCCAACTTTCTCAAAGCTTTGCTAACAAGTTTTGCATCCTTCAATTCCTATGCTGGCTGCCCTAGAAATGGCAGAACTGCTTTGAGATGTAAGCATCTGCGAGTACCAACACTTCCATCTATTTCTAGAAAGTGTGGGTGTTTAATTCGGGATATATTTGATATGCTATTTTGGGCCATTTGAGCAAATTTTTAAGCTTGTAGGCGGCACATAGAACATGGAATATAGACTTCGACCTGCAGAAGATCTGCAGAAAAGTTTTACACTCTGATGCAGGAAGAAGCAATGCATGGTCTGCAACATCGGAGTAGTTCCACTAGCAAGGAGTTTCATCAGAGGAACAAGTTTTTGTATATAAACAAAGGGATGAAGGCAGGTAAGTTAAGGGGAAAGATCTGCCATGCGCAGCAGCTCTGCATATGTACCAAATAAAAATGATTTGATACTTCTGAAAAAAAAATCTTGGCTTATGCTAAGTATCTGCCAGTTTTTTTAGGTATTTTTTTTCAGGACTAAATAAAAGTCTATGACTTGTCACTCTGAGTACAGATGGATTTTATGTAGCCCTCTACTTTTCCCCTGGACTGCAAGGCGATCAAACCGGTCAGTCCTAGAGGAGATCAACCCTGACTGCTCTTTAGAAGGCCAGATCCTGAAGTTGAAACTCAAGTACTTTGGCCACCTAATGAGAAGGAAGGACTCACTGGAGAAGAGCCTGATGCTGGGAAAGATTGAGGGCAATAGAAGAAGGGGACAACAGAGAATGAGGTGGCTGGATGGAGTCACTGAAGCAGTAGGCGTGAGCTTAAATGGACTCCAGAAGATGGTAGAGGACAGGAAGGCCCGGAGGAACGTTGTCCATGGGGTCGCAATGGGTCGGACACGACTTCGCAACTAACAACAACAACTACTTTTCAGAGGCACCGAATTTATTAATGTTTGATCCATATTGTTGTTTGTGAATTCTCCTGATCTCTAAGACAGACATTTGTCTGATCTTGTTTGAAAGGCATCACAGTGGCTCCAAATTGCCTACATGTGAACATCTTTTGACACATACCTGTTGAAAAGGGGTCTAGGACAACTCGCCACGGCCAACTCGCTGTGTAACTACTCACTGTGGTCAACGCACCACAGGACACCTCACCGTGGGACAATCCACGTGAGATAACTCAACACAATAAAGGTTATCCACCGCTGTTTCTTCTACATTATTCCAGTTTTTGTCAATGGAAATAATGTCAAAGAAACAGTGGCAGATAATATTTATCACGTTGAGTTATCCTATGTGGAATTGTCCACGCCAAGTTGGCCACTGAGAGTTTTCTCGCAGTGAGTAGGCCGCAGCAAGATGGCCCCAGCGATACGGCTGCGGTGAGATGGCCATGGCATGATGGCCACGGCAAGTTGACCACAGCGAATTGTCTCAGTACGGCTGAAAAGGACACATCAGTCTTTATTTAAAGTGATGTTGAGTATTGCAGTGTTATCAGTATTCAAGAAAGACTGCAGTCTTCAGGTCAACTGCAAGTCAATGAGGTATAGGTCTACTTCCAGTTCACATGCTAACCTCAGGCACCTGTATAAACTTCAGCTTTTGCAGCTAGGAAAAAAGAAGTGTCTAGAGCAGGGATAGGCAACCTTGGCTCTTTTATGAGTCGTGGACTTCAACTCCCAGAATTCCTGAGCCAGCCATGCTGAGGGGAAAGGGAGAGTTTCCAAGCTGAGCCATGCTGGCTCAGGAATTCTGGGAGTTGAAGTCCACGAGTCATAAAAGAGCCAAGGTTGCCTACTCCTGGTCTAGAGGAACAATAAAGCAGACCTGCACCAAATCCATTGACTAAGGATGAATGTCTTCTTAAATAGATTTAATTTAATGTTGCCTTGTCCACCTTCCTTATGAACCTTTCTAATCAAAGGTAGCTTTTTCATGAGGAAATTGTACTTAAGAGTTGCCTTTTGCTTACCTTTTTTTAATGTCTCTGGTTTTTTTTCTGCTTTCTCTCTCCAGGGCATGGTGATAGATGGAAAAAACGATTTCTTCTCTCTAGATTCTTCCTCCTCGTTCTTGCTTTCACTGGGTGCTTGGGAGGGGTGAGGACTTCCTTTACCTTCACTTTTTCTCCAGCTGGTGTCAGGTTCCACTTTAGATACCCTTTTCCCGATGGGTTCGGTGACGTGAGCTCTACGGGGCTTTGAGAGAGGAGATGATGGTGGTGTTTGGCTGATGGGCTTTGGAGCCAATGCAGGTTTTGGTGGTAGGGGTGATTTAGAAACAGTTTTTTCTTGACCAGGCGCAGACATAGGACCAGTAGGACAAGAGATAGGTGCAACGATGGTGTAATTGCGACTAATAATAGTTAATGTGCTATTATCAGAATTAAGTCTTGCGTCTTTTCTCTCTTGACTCAGAGATTTGCTATCTTTCAAAAATAAAGGTTTTGCATCTTGTTCATTGTCTGGGGTGACCAGTGGAGTTGGCAAGCCATCAAAACTATCTCCTGCGCTGTATCTTTTCTTCTTCTTCTGCTCTCCTTGCTGGTCATAGTGAAAACGCAAGGAGTAATTGGTCCTCCTTAATTTCACCCCAAATGGGGCCACATTTTCTTCTCCACTTGGTGACGCTCGGTCCATTTTTTTTGAACCAACATTCTGTGGTGTTTCCATTGCTGACGAAGTCTCCGATGGGGAGAGTTCTTTATTTGGAGAATACGGGAGACTTGGAACAAGAAAAGATGGGAGATCTTTGGCAAACTTACATCCCTCGGTATTACCTGCTACTTCCTGTCGCCCTCTGATTTTCCCTGGTGAAGTTCCTACATTCTTTGTACCAACCGGTGACTCTGTTTGGACTGCCTCGTTGTCTGAATGCGGAGTGGATGGACTCAACTGCACTGCTGCATTTTCTGCTTCGGGAGCAGTTTTATTCTCTGCAGCTGTACTGGTTTTGGACATTTCTGAAAACTTCTGCCATGCAGGAGTTATAGAAAACTTTGCATTTGCAGACAAAGTCTTTCGTAAGTTACCATGGAAAGTACTTCGACCTTTTGCTGTCCAATCATCACTATGCCTATTAAGACTCCCATTGTCTTTCTCATTAAATTTATCGTTTTCTACACCTTTTAAGATTTTTGAACGAATTGAAGCCCATTCATCCAGGATGGCTTGGCTGTCCACTGAATCCTGAACATGCTTCACTTTAGTACTGTTCGGCCTGCCATCAACAGGTTTCTGGATGCTTTCTGGCTGAGGCGCGTCCATCACTTTCTTTTCTTCTGTTAAACCAAGTAAAGATTTACAGGCTGTATCTTTTATCTGGTTGAGATTTACTGCAGTGCCACAGAGTTGTGCTCCAGTGACCAAGATTGCTGTATGTGGAACACATAAAGAAGTTGGAAGATTACTAGAACCTCTACTAGACTTGGGGTCTTTAAATTCTTTCGTGGCAGAAGGAAGTGGAGCCTCTTTAACAGGGGTAACTGGACTTAAATTCACTTTTGGAAATATAATTTCTTTTTCTCCAGAAGACACTTGAAAAGTGAAGCCCCTGGACATTGTTTGCCGGGCGTCCACTTCCTGCCAACGTAATTCTTCACCAAGAACCCTTTCCTGCTTCTCAACTTCAACGTTCATCACCTGATGAACTCTTAGACTGCCTTCTTCCTTCTGCTCTTTGCCTGGCTGAGTTCTCTGTGGCTGCCCTGATTCCTCTTTACCTTGCAGCTCTTTCTCAACAGTTTCCAAGCATTCATCTTCTGGTTGCTTATTCATGTGTAACTGGTGGGATTCCTTCTCTTCTTTTGGCGTTTCCAGTGACTGCTGATCTTCTAAACAGAGGGTTTTCTGTCTTTCCAATTGTAGGTCCTCTGTCCTTTGTATAAATTCCTCCTGTTGCACTTCCTTCTCAGCCCACAAATGCCCTATTTCTGCTGGTGCTACTTTTCTATGTTCTGCTGATCCAACCGATTTTGCCGATTTTTGCTGCTTTTGTTCATTTGTACTAAATTGTTTTTCATTCAGGTTTTGCTGTTCCTCTTCTTGTCCCTTCACTTTCATAGCTGTTCCCTTCTCTTGCAATTTGTTTCTATCATCTAATTTTTTGCTGCTTTCTTGTTCTTTCTTTCTCTGTCCTAGTTCTCTTTTT